TTTTTTTTAAATAGCCTTTGTGCACAGCCAGCCTTGTACTCTTCTAGGTTAAAAAAACTGTCGTCCATAAAATGCGTTGCACAAATTTGAACATCTGGGTTGTGCTGTTCTGTTGTAAATAAATCTTAACCAATGATTCCTAATTGCATCTACTTCCGGAAGGCCAAATAAAGTGCTTTTGCTTTCGCACTTTAACACTGTCTCCCTGATATGGCTGCATCAACACTAACTGCTGTTCCTGAAACCACGCCTTCTTTCTTTGCGTGCACATTTGGGCGGCATTATGCTAATATTTCCACATAGTGACGTAGATATGTGGGGGCATGTTAGAACGAGGCATTTTAGGTAGGCGTGGTTGACTCTTAACTTTTATAAAGAATATCTCTTTGGATTTGAGACTTTGCAACTTTACAGATCTTCTTTATGCACCAAGAGCTTGTAACACTCCAAAGAGAAAGGAAAACTTAAAATCGCATCATATGACCCCTTTAAGAGATGTGAGACTCATCTCAGCACATTGCACATCTTTATATTAATTTGAGGCAAAAGGGTTTTTTGTTGTGTGTTTTCATTGCAAATGAATGCATAACCTCTTAGCTGTTTTGACACGCTGTAAAGTGTTTTTTGTACTTCAGTTTTGTCTACTTTTGTTTAACTGACGCTATATCGCTGTCTTAATTTATTAATGGATCCAACCGGAACTGTGGACTAAAGTTTCTCTTTACCAACAAACAAATTAGTCTTTGTGTGTGAGTCACTTCGGCTCTCCTCCCTCTCCTGGGTTTGTGGATGAGAAAAAAAATGCCGCAATGAAACAAAGGATACATGCAGCTCCGTGACTCCCAAGTGTAGCTCTGGGGCATTTGCGATAATACGGGAAAGCAGATAATATTTTTTCGTGGAGCAATCATTTCCATTGTAATTTTGGATGAGCGTAATACACTGTCAGGAGCAAATAAAGATTATTTTTAAACAACGCGCTTGCTATTTTTGGCACACCGGTTATGCAGCAACCTCAAATGGGATTTAGAGTCATGATGCGTGTCATTTTCGTGTCAGGAAAAGCGGTTTCCACTCCTGTCAGAATAATGCACAGTAGGCAATCTGAGATTGTTGAAATTTTGACCTTCCCGCATTACTCAAAAGTTCACTCATTTAGAGCGTGGTTGTAAAGATAGATTGAAAAGGTTGTTTCTGTGTGGGACCATGTGTTCAGGCAGCCGTGATCATGTTGTTTTTTTCACGTGGCAGGGAGAAGCTTTTCCATTTGTCTCATAGAGTTTCTGTGATATTGTCTCTATCAGAGAAGGTGACCTAAGCCTCTCTAAGAACATAAAAGGTTTAGCCAAAGAAGCTCATATGTCAAGACTATTCTTCTGCTGATCTCTTTCCCCTTCCAGAACACAGCCTTAACCTGGGGTGGTGGGCGTCATCGGGCAATTTGTTTTGTTATTATGGGGTGAATTACTCTTTTCACTGTAGATGGTCTTAGGGAGAATGTAAACCTTCTTGACCTTTGATAATGTCTCATTTGTTAGGTTCATGCTACTGTTTAACTGCATTATCTTTTTTTGGAATTTGCTTATGTCTTTATCGCTCTTAAAAACATTACTCATGCAAATGTGGATCAAATTGGTTGGTTAAAGTTGTCATGAAAGAAAAAGTCACCCTATCTTTTTTCTAAATGCATGTTGTTGATCTTATTGTGAATGATTCATCCATGTATGTTCTATTTTTAAACAAAATTTTAATCTAACTGTCAATTGTCTGGAAAAAAACGTCAAACGTGTCCTGGACTTTTCCAATGATTTGGTTTGCTTCAACTCCGTTCCTCCACAATCGACTTCAAGCTTGCATTCATTTTTGAGTGCAGTGCCCACATCTCAAAATCCAAGAACTTATGATTAGAACCAAGTTCCTGCCCTACATTTTTTCCTTTTTCGATAATCTGTTTCATCACAACTTTAAATCCAGTATATCTTTAGTTTTTCCATGTGACATGGAAAGGATTGATAGATTGAAAGCTCTTTCTCAATGCTTTCTTGATGCTTGTGACAGATAAAACCAGAGAAGTATTAATTAATCAAACATAGCCTGTGTTTATATTTTAAGAAAAAATGCATGAGAACAATTTATAAATGTAATTTTAGAACAAGAATCATTTAGACTGTGAAATGTGGATGTTCCATACCAGAATGTAGCTAAATCAAATGATAGTTAGCTTAAATAGATATTTGGTTATTGGCTGATGATATCCAAAAGCCTGTGTGGCCTAAGTGGCATCAGATTGATTGAAAAGTTGTTTCACGTTTAATAGGGAGAGGTGTAATAAAGATTATTAAAGAACCCTTAAAAAGTTATGTTTTGGTCATATTAGTCTAACTGTACTCTTCTCTCTTTTCCATTCCAGTCTGTGGTCCTCACATTGATATCCGCAATGACATCAGTGAGTTCAAGAAGCTGGAGAACTGCACAGTGGTGGAAGGCTACCTTCAGATCCTCCTCATTGGAGACAAGAACAACAACCTCAACCAGGAGCACTTTCGCACCCTGTCCTTCCCCAAGTTGACCATGGTCACCGACTACCTTCTCCTGTTCCGAGTCTCCGGCCTGGATAGCCTCAGCATGCTCTTCCCCAACCTCAATGTCATCCAAGGACGCAACCTGTTCTACAACTACGCCCTGGTCATCTTTGAAATGACCAGCCTGAAAGATATTGGCCTCTATAACCTGAGGAACATCACCAGAGGCGCTATCAGAATCGAAAAGAACCCGGAGCTGTGCTACTTGGACTCGGTGGACTGGTCACTCATTATGGATGCAGAGTTTAACAACTACATCGCTGGGAACAAGCCGTCCAAAGAATGCGGTGATGTTTGTCCAGGTATCATGGATGATAGAACCCAGTGCATTAGGACCAGCTTCAATGACAACTACAGCCACCGCTGCTGGACCTCCAACCACTGCCAGAATGGTAAGAACCCACCAACCATACTTGATCTTGCTAATGGTAGATTTATTTCTGGTTTTATTTCTAATGGATTCACATTTGGTGCCATTTAGCTTATCGTTCCTTCAAAGGGGATTTGAATGAATAATGGCATGAATGGTAAAACTGAATGAGGCTTAGATTGCATAGGATAAAGCTAAGTTTAGCTAAACCGATGGAGGGATACTGTTTGCTTGGCTTGGGAACTGGAGGTCTGTCTCTCTGGCAGGGTCTTGTCAGATAAATATTTGGTTAGTGTAATCTATGTTGTGTTGAGAGAGTTATGACTAGACTGTCCACTAATTCATCAAAGGCATTGACAGTAGCTGAAGACTGGGGGTCCTGAAAACAAAACAAGGATTTCTGTGACCTGAGGTGACGTTCTAAGGAGCACTACGCAAAATCCATCCATAAAAGTGTGCTTTTAGAACCCTAAATTATGTGTAACTGCACTCTCAAATCTCTTTTCATTGCTGTTAAAGTTGGCTGATTTATGCAGTTTTAGAGATGGATTGATATAATTAGCCAATATTTGGCCACAGGTTCGTGGCTCTTCAACGGCTTATTGTGCAGTAGTGAAAGACCGATATATTAGCCAGGGCGATTATTTGGTAGTTTTGAGCAATTCTACTGACTGCTTTGTCAGTAGATAGTAATTCATTTCTGTTTTCAATGGTTTTTGAAGTTTCAGGAAATTTTGGATAAAATAAATTTTCTATTTGTTCCACCAAGTTTGTTTGTTTATTTACATCTGTATTGACATTCACCATTGGAAAACCCATATTGGTTGACCGCTTAGAGTGATAGCCAAAATCGCCAAATGTATATATGTGTGTGTGTGATATGGTTCCTACACACCTCGTTTTTGTTCCTACACACCTTTTTTTTTGAGTGAATTCTTTTCTGTTTTTTAAATATTTTTGAGGGTCTTTTGCGTACAATTTGTGTACATTTTATTTGTTATTGGCATCAGCTATTAAAAATAGCCGCCGGTTGACCACTAGTTTATACATTTGTTGTTTTTTTTTAATATGAAACATAGGGTTGCAAAGGGGTGGAAAATTTCCAGAAACTTTCCAAAAATCCCTGGAATATAAAAAAAAAATCCTGGAAAGTTTCCAAAATTTCTGGAATATTTCCTAAATTTACTGGAAATTGTCCACCTTTTTGCAACCCTAATCAAACATCCTTTGATAATTTGAGTTTAATTCGTCTGTTGGGTTAGATATTACAATAGTACTTTGATGCCCTAAACGGCCCTTTCTTGTGGATAGGGTCAATAGAATGTGAGAAAATCACCTGGCAAAATATAGAAAATATCTTCTATGATTTCTTATTTCTGCCGTCATGAGGTCAGAAGATATGAATGTCAGTGTGTCTCCTACATCTGACCGGGAATGCCTGGGAAAGTGAACTACCCCATTATGAATGTTTGCTCCCTCTTCCTCTCCCAAGTGCACAAGAATGGTGGGAAAAACAAAATGGATGAGAACACCACAGCGCTCTCCCACCCCTGGCCTTCAAGAGACCTGCAGACCGTGCAAGTCCCAGGCTCAGAGAAGCCGTTGCAAAGCTGCCCTCCCTCCCCTTTCCCTCCACCTGAAAACAAACAGAGGAAATCAACCCTCCTCAGAAACGCGCTCCCTTATAGCCGGATTGTTTGTTTGTTGCTGTTGGAATTCTTTGAATCTGACAATCATGAGAAGGACACGTTTGAGGAAGGTATGGAGATGACGTGTTGTGACCCTACCAGGATATTTGATCCACAGCAGTGGGCGACTCCGAGTGTCCTTTTTTTCCAGTGACTCTCCTTTGCGCTGCTGATACAGTCTCTTCCCGACAGTCCAGCCCACATCGTGTCAGCACTTGCTCCCCTGCACACCTGTTCAGTATGGTAATCTTGTGTCTGAATGCCGTGTTTTTGCCTTTGCAGAGGTGGGGAGGTCTGAGTCACTTGTATCCAAGGCTCAAACAGCCGAACAAAAAGAACGACTGGTAGTCACAGCAGAAAGGATGTATTAATGGTCCGACTGATTGATCTGTGTTCTCCATAGATCTTACTGGAACAAGCAGTGGGCTGCCACCTGTCCGATTGTGTATGCTTCCCATCAATGTTTCCACATGGAGCTTCAAAGGAATCAACAATTTGTCTATGAAAATCACACCCCAGCATTTTCCAACTGTCGCCAGCTTGCCTTGTTCTTAAGGCACAAATGATTAAACCTCATGAGAGGTAATGGCAAGGATAGATGAGGGAACTGAGCGGTGTATAAACTTCCTCCACTGAGTTGTTTTGTCATGTTGAGGATGACGCAAAGCTGATTTCAAACACACTTAAAGTCAACATGAACTCTAAATGGACAGTTTATTTTATTTTATTTTATTTATTTATTTATTTTTTACACGTTTTGGGTTTTACAATGAATGATTAATTTGAATGAACTTCATATTCATTAACTTATTAACAGTGTAATCACTTGATCTGTTCTAAAACTTCAACTTTATATATATATATATATATATATGTCAACTTATTTTTCAACCACATTTCATTTAGTAACTAAGAATAGAAAAGAATACTTTTCACAATCAAATCCCACCAAAGTACCACCTTTATTTTTTTCCCAATGAAAAATCTTTTACTCTTTTTAATAAAAGTGGGTTGTGAAGACTGGTTCATGTTGACTTGAAGGTTTTTCAAAAAGTTGAGACCATCCTTATAGAAACTAATTCTACAGTGGAGGAGAATAAGAAGGAATTGTGGGTGATGAAGGCAAATGGTGCCAGACTTGTGTGTGTGTGTGTGTTTTTCATGGAACCAGTTCTTTCTAACGTTTCAGTCAAACCGATTCGCAAAGCAACAGAGAACTTTGACTCTGTGAATTGTTGTTTTGAATCGTTCAAACTAAGCGATTCACTAAAATGAATTGGATTTCTGAACACAAATCTTCAGTGTCAGCGTGATGGTGGCATAGTCCCTCAGTGTCACTCGGTGCAGCCCATCTGGCTCTCTGTGGAGAACAGTTATCTCCACCCCTCAGCATAATTGCCTTGTTTTTCTTGTGCGCAGATGTTTCTTCAAGGGCACACAGTGGTTTTGTAGTCAATTTGGATCAGTCCTTTCTCTCTAATTACTACACCAAGAGTTGCTGTCAGCAACCAATCAGCGATCAGCTCCTGCGTATGTGCGCGAGACTCTGCGTGTTTGTTATGAGATGAGGGTGTCCACAGCAGCACTATTGTTTGCTTTTTTTCTGAAATGTAAGACCATTAAAGCATTCCTTGCCTGTTCTTGCATGCGCTTGTTACCGTCACTTCTGTGTATGCATGCGTGTATCTGGAGTCTATGGACTTTCCATTTGTAATGCAATTTCCATTTGCAGTGTTTGTCTTCACGCTGCCTGGATATGTTTGCTAACCTGCTTATGGCTCAGATAATCTAGCTCTAGTGATAAGGAAATGGATTTTGATTTCGCTCAGGAATAAACTTATTCAAAGGGGACGTGAAAGACTGTTGAGTTTATTTCCAATGTTGTGAACAGTTCAATCAGGCCTTTGAATGTACAAAGCGATTCAACTTGCTGAAAGAGCTTTTATTAGGTACTCATAACCATCTTAACCGTTGGTTTAGAAAGCATACAAAATCAATTTAAGATGTTTGGCATCTAAACTCTTATTATGACCACCAATGATTTTTGTTACATATAATAATATGTAACCAAAGCTATTGATTATGAAATTAAACAATTGTTGTTTAATAGTGTTTTTATAGTTATCTTAAATTTAGCTTAAATTTGAGTTTGGATGCCAAAAGAAGCATTTACACTTGTGGTCTGGGAAAGACTCCACTATTTATGTTTGAGCAGATATGTAATATGTTTTACAGGTATCTTTTTATGTCAACTGAGTATAAAAATGTTTATCTTTTGGTATGTAAATTATTTATCCTCTTTGTCTGTTATCTCATTTCAAATATGTTTATTGACTTATTTACCTAATTTTTTCAAACTTAAAAACTTTACCATGTTCTTGCCATGATGCTGACACCAAACCGCCCCAAAAAAAACAACTTCAAATTGAGTAGGACAAGTGAGAATGTTGTTGTAAAGTCTAAAAGGAGCCCCTGGTGGTGACTGAAGGTATGATTATTGTATGTTTGTAGTGTGTTTGAGTATGTCTGTTCTTTGTCTCCAGAGAAGTTTTGCAATGCCAGGTCGGTTGATGGAGGGAATAGGAGGGGGGACTGTAGGGAGGAGGCATCCAACGGTCAATCCCAGGTCCATGTGAGGCAAAGTGTTGAGGAGAAATATCACAGAAATGTCAAGTGTACAAGCACAAAAACAAGACTCCTCAGTGAGGGGGAGCGAAACGACAGCCCTCCTTAATCTCCTCCCTTCTGCCCACCAACCTCTCCTCCCTTCCCACTTATTTTGGTTGTTGTTTTCTTTTTCTTTACGACCCCTCTCAATAGTTTTACTGCCATTTCCTCCCCTCTCTCTCTCTTCCGGGACTCTTATCATGGGCTGTTAACAGCTTTAGCCGTTAGATAGCTCTTCTCATTGTTTACACTCCTGGCTCCACCACCCGCCTGCCTGTTACTCTAGTGACCCATCCAGTTGTTTGCTCGCTTGTGACCTTGCTGACATCTCGTGTTTGTGCTCTTTGTGTGTGTGTGCGGGTTTCGTGACTGCACCTACTCTCTGGTCTGGTCTGAATGGGCCCCTCAGGTCACTCTGAACCAGAAAAGCATGTCTTCCCCCCGCCGAAAAACACACTCTCATACCCCAGACGGGAGAAGGGAGGGGTGAGGATTGTTGGATAATGGTCTGAGCCCCTTGGGCTTCAGGGCTGCTATACAACCCCAAACAACAACGCAAGCTGCTGTTGTTGTCCCGAAGGCTAGCTGATTTGTCTGATCAAACCTTTTTGAATCCTCTAGGGCTCACATATCTGGGATTGTTGGCATTCCTCAGCTGTGGCACATA